ATGAACTTGGAGGTGTCTACGGACAATGCCGGCTCCATGCAGTCACGCTGGCCACATGAACTTGGAGGTGTCTACGGACAACGCCGGCTCTTTGGCTTAGAAATGGAGTTGAGCACCACACCCCAGAGTCGGACACGACTGGACTTAATGTCAGGGGAAAACCTTTATCTTTTACTATTTATAAAAAAAGCTTGCTGTAAATCCCAATGAGATATGTTTACATGTGCCTGCAGGTTGTCTTTCAACTTATGGCAACAACATGCATTCCTTAGGATTTCCTTAGGCAAGGAATACAGTTGCCCTCCATATCTATGTTTCACGCACCTAGGGCATGAAAATATATTTTAAAATGCCAAAGACAAACTTTGATTTTAGCCTTGATAAAAGGTATTTTATCAAGACACAAAACCAGATTGTTCACTTCATGACAGTGGATGTGTGTCAGTTCTTGTCTCTGGCAAAAAAACAAATATCAAATAACATGACAGCTTGCACAGTTCCACCTTCTCCTTGGAGTGATGTGATTTGGGAGATCATGAGCTATGCCATTAAATGGCAAATGCTATATACCAGACACTGAAAAGGTTTGCACTGTAAATGCTGGGTTACTATTAAAACGTGGAATGTAGTCTTAGGGGCACTTTAGGAAAATAACCAACAGACGTCCACTCAAAGACAGGCTATTTATAACAGAGGTTTTGTTTTTCGACCCAAACATCCATCCCACTTGAGAGACTAAAATTATACTAAGTACACAAAATGAAATTATAGGCTAAATGTTTTAGCAGGGGAGCGAACAAGGCGCATGTATGGAATTAGCACAAGAGGCATCTCAGAAGGTACACACGAGGTCAGGAGCAGTGGGAGCAAAATTAATTGCGCTGTTTCCAGCTGCCTCTCAGCCTCATTTGCTCATTCATTTGGCAGACCCTGCCCAGGGATTTACATTAGCCACGTACCTATCACATCCTTCGTGCCCCATCCCTACATTTAACGGGGAGAAGGCTTGTAGGCTGCAAATATGCACTTTATCCCTTGTAGCTTTGGAACCCAAAAGAAATGCAACATAGTTATTTACCCTAAAACAGGGTTTCTCAACCAGGGGGTCAGGACCCCTTGGGGGTTCGCGAGGGGGTTTCAGAGAGGTCGGCCACTATAATTTTGCTACAGTTATGAATCATAATGTAATATGCAGGGTGTATTTTCATTGGCCTGCACAGAAACACAACTGAGGAGAAAGAAGCAAGCTTGTTTCCTGCTTCTCAGGAGATACAATGGTGCTCTGGATTCAAATTGCAGGAAAAGAGATCCCACGTAAACATCAGGACAGCGTTTCTCAATCTGGGGGGTCGCAACCCTGAGAGGGTCACAAGGGGGATGTTAGGGGGGTCGCCAAAGACCATCACAAAACAGTATTTTCTGTTGGTCATGGAGGTTCTGAGTGGGAAGTTTGGCCCAATTCTAGCATTGGTGGGATTCAGAATGCTCTTTGATTGTAGGTGAACTATAAATCCCAGCAACTACAACACCCAATAGCAGTTCGAAAACATGCAAATGTGAGTAGATCAATAGGTACCGCTCCAGTGGGAAGGTAATGGCGCTCCATGCAGTCATGCCGGCCACATGACCTTGGAGGTGTCTACGGACAACGCTGGCTCTTCGGCTTAGAAATGGAGATGAGCACCACACCCCAGAGTCAGACATGACTGGACTTAATGTCAGGGGACTACCTTTACCTTTACCTTACAACGCCCAAATGTCAAGGTCTATTTTCCCCAAACTCCACCAGTGTTCATTTGGACATATTGAGTATCTGTGCCATGTTTGGTCCAGATCCATCATTGTTTGAGTCCACAGTGCTCTCTCGATATAGGTGAGCTACAACTCCAAAACTGAAGATCAAGCCCACCAAACCCTTCCAGTATTTTCTGTTGGTCGTGGGAGTTTCTCTGGAAATTTTAAAGCAGAGGCTGGATGGCCATCTGTCAGGAGGGCTTATATTATGTGTTGGACTGGATGGCCCTTGGAGTTTGATTATATGGTTCTTCCAGTCTGTATCTTCTATTATCTTGCATGTCAGGGGGTTGGGGTCTCTTCCAACTCTGGGATTCAATTATTCTAACAGGCTGGCATTTGAATTGTAAAAGAGGGTTCAGAAATCTAATCCCTAGGTGACTGTAGGTTGGTCACACACTGCCAACGTGATCTACTTTGTTGTCAGGATAAGGGAGAGTATGGCCAGCCAATACACCGCCTTATTTATTTATTTTATTTATTTATTTTCAGTATTTCTATCCTGTTCCTTCTCAACCCCTGAAAGGGGACTCAGGACGGCTTAGATTTGGCAGCAATTCGATACCACTACATATAACAGAGCAATACAATAACAATTAAAACAATAAATAAAACATTCATTAAAACAGTAAAAAACAGTATTAATAGCCATAATATTATTCCAGTCGATTCCATATCCAATTCCATGTCCAAAGTGCTATCTATATCTGTTGTCCAAAAGCCTGGTCCCAGAACCACAACTTCTATTTCTTCCAAAATAACAGGAGGGACGGAGTTGATCTTACCTCGGTGGGAAGCGAGTTCCACAGGTGGGGGGGGCCACAGCCGAGAAGGCCCTGTCTCTCACCCCCGCCAGATGTATTTGTGACACTGGCGGGAGTGAGAGCAGGGCCTTCTTGGATGATCTTAAACTGCGAGGCGGGATGTAGAGGGAGATGCGTTTGGACAAGTAAGCTGGGCCAGAATCATATAGGGCTTTATAGGTCAAAACCAGCACTTTGAATTGAGCTTGGAAGTGGACCGGCAGCTACTGGAGCTGGTACAACAAGGGGGTGGGGTGGTATGCTCCCTGTATGCCTTGAACTTTTTGTAGACAGAAGGGGTACAATCACATAAGGAAGAGGTGGATGGTGTTATGAAACTATCTGTACTTTTATGAAATTCCCCTCTCTTTAGATCAGCGTTTCACAACCAGGGGGTTGGGACCCCGGGGGGTGGGTTGTGAAGGGGTTTCAGAGAAGACCACCAGAAAACATATATTTCTGATGGTCTTCAGAACCCCTTTGGCAGAGAAGGCTGAAGATCTCTCCGCCTGTCCTTCTCTTCCTTCTTGGAAACTGAAGACAAATCTTCCCACCGAACTCCCACCGAACTTGGGAAGTGTCCGACGTGTGATACAATACAACAGCCAGAGAGTGATATTGTTTGCTGTGGACTCATCTTGTTGTGTTTCAAATAATAATAATAATAATAATAATAATAATAATAATAATAATAATATAAAGAGTCCCTAGAAGTGTATTGACTTTTGTCACTGCTACATTCCACTATGAGTTCATGTTCACCTTAATACTGAGTGGAACTCTCTGCCCCGGAGTGTGGTGGAGGCTCCTTCTTTCGAAGCTTTTAAACAGAGGCTGCATGGCCATCTGTCGGTGCTGGCTTGAATGCAATTTTCCTGCTTCTTAGCAGAAAGGGGTTGGACTGGATGGCCCATGAGATCTTTTCCAACTCTGATTCTAAGCCTCTTCCACACAATTGTATAAAATCCACATTGAACTGGGTTATATGGCAGTATAGACTCAGATAACCCAGTTCAAAGAAGATATTTCTATCCAAGTTATCTCCTACCTTGCTCATGCCCAGCATTATTTTTAGATTTAAATTTTACATTTGGCCCAGCCATAGGCTTTTAAATGCTTGTTGTGTTACTGTATTACTTATTTTTATGTTTGCTTATAAGAAATAGTTTTCTTTGATCTACAGAGACACTTGCTGGAACACCTCAGCAAGCGAGAGTTCAAAAGCGGCAGGCTCAAACCCCACCTCAATCCGTGGGTGATACCAGATGAGAGACTCCCCCCCCCCCCCCCCCCCCCCCCCCCCGGGCACACAGAAGACTGGGCGACTTGGCAGGCGCTGAACAGACTGCGCTCTGGCACCACAAGATGCAGAGCCAACCTCAAGAAATGGGGCCACAAAGTGGAATCCATGACAAGCGAGTGTGGAGAAGAGCAAACCCCTGACCACCTGCTGCAATGCACCCTGAGCCCTGCCACATGCACAATGGAGGACCTTCTTGCGGCAACACCAGAGGCACTCCAAGTGGCCAGATACTGGTCAAAGGACATTTAATCAGCTACCAAGTTTGCAAAATTTGTGGGTTTTTTATCTGTTTGTTTGTTTTGTTCTGTTAGAAATGTAATATAGTGTTCTGGTTGTGGATGACATGATAAATAAATAAAAATTTTGCTTATGAGTTATATTTTAACTGTTTTGTATTGTTTGTTTGCTATTTCTTTATTATTGTTGTATTGTGGGCTCGGCCTCATGTATGGTAGGGGGGTATAAATAAAGTTATTATTATTATTATTATTATTATTATTATTATTGTGGGTTATCTGATATTCTGTGTTTATATATAGGGCTGTGTGGAAGGACCCTAAGTTCCCATCTACACGTTCATATAACATACAGATTATCTGCTTTGAACTGGGTTATATGGCAGTGTGGACTCTTAAAATCCAGTTCAAAGCAGATATTGTGAATTATCTGCCTCGATAGTCAGGACTCAGATAACCCAGTTCAAAGAAGACATTGTGTGTTATCTGAACCCCCTTCCACACAGCTGTGTAAAATCAACACAAACTGAACCGGATTTTATGGCAGTGTGGACTCAGATAACCCAGTTCAAAGAAGATGTTATTATGGATGATCTGCCTGGGTTGTAAGGCTGTGTGGAAGAGCCCCAGACACTCAGGGACTTGGAAAAGGCCATCCAGTCCATGTTCATTATTATTATTACTATTACTATTACTATTATTATTATTGGCATCATGCTTTCCATTCCTTTCTTGTCCTAATAGTTGCTGAGAGGCGACCCAAACCAGCCTCCAGGGAGTACAACTCTCGAAGGGACAGAAGCCTCCTCAGGAAGCGGGCCCTTCTCCTCCTCCTCCTCGCCTCCCTCCGTGCCCTTGACTCACCTGAGGGGCCTCGGGGTCTCCTCACAGGGCGGGCCCGCCGGAGGGAGGGGAGGGAGGGAGGGAGGGAGGGAGCTCGGCCCTGGCCCCACTGCCGCCTTCCCCCCGGCCGCCGCCGCCGCCGCCGCCCGGAAGCCACTCCGCGCCCACTTCCGCTACCGGGTCGCCATCGGCGGGGAGCGGCCCCTGACGGGCTGGGGAACAGAGGGCGGGGCGGAGAGGCCGAGGCCACGCCCACCAGGCAGAGAGCCACTCCCCCTTTCGGCCGAGGAAGGCACAATCTCGCTCAGGCCGAGGCCACGCCCCGCCTCCCCGCAGGCCACGCCCCCTTCTTAGCAGAGAATGAAACAGCACCGCAAAAGGCCGAGGCCACACCCACCTCCCTATGGCCACGCCTCCTTTCGGCCGAGGAAGGCACAGACCCGCTCAGGCCGAGGCCACGCCTCTCCTCCCCGCTGGCCACGCCCCCTTCCTAGCCGAGAAGGAAACAGCACCCAACAAGACCTAGGCCACGCCCACCTCCCGCTGGCCACGCCTCCTCCTCGATTGAGAAACAGGCCCCGCCTCCAGCTAACCATGACCCCTTCTCGACTATTGATAGATAATCAGCCTTGCAAAGGCTGAGGCCACGCCCACCTCCCTCAGGCCACGCCTCCTCGACTGAGACAGACCGAAGCCACGCCCCGTCTCCAGCTAACCATGCCCCCTTCTCGGCTGTTAATGGGTAATCAATCAGTTCTGGAAAGTCTGAGGCCACGCCTATCCCTCTCTGGCCACGCCTCCTTCTCGACTGAGACAGACCGAAGCCACGCCCTGCCTCCAGCTAACCGCGCCCCTTCTCGGCTATTGATGGATAATCAGCCTTGCAATGACTGAGGCCACGCCCACCTTCCTCAGGCCACGCCTCCTTCTCGGCTGAGACAGACCGAAGCCACGCCCCGCATTCAGCTAACCACGCCCCTTCTCGGCTATTGATGGATAATCAGCTTTACAAAGGCTGAGGCCACGCCCAACTACCTCTGGCCACGCCTCCTTCTCGACGGAGAAACAGAACCGAAGCCACGCCCCGCTTCCAGATAACCACGCCCTTTCTCGGCTTTTGATGGATAATCGGCCCTGCAAAGGCTGAGGCCACGCCCACCTCCCTCAGGCCACGCCTCCTCCTCGACTGAGACAGACCGAAGCCACGCCCCGCCTCCAGCTAACCACGCCCCTTATTGATGGATAATCAGGAGTGCAAAGTCTGAGGCCACGCCTACCCCTCTCTGGTCACGCCTCCTTCTCGACAGAGAAACAGGACCGAGGCCACGCTCCGTCTCCAGGTAACCATACCCCCTTCCCGGCTGTTAATGAGTAATCAGATCTGCAAAGTCCGAGGCCACGCCCACCTCCCCTGGCCACGCCTCCTTCTCGACTGAGGAAAAAGGACCGAAGCCACGCCCCCTCTCCAGCTAACCACGCCCCTTCTCAGCTGTTGATGGGTAATAATCAGCTCTGAAAAGGCCGAGGCCACGCCCACCTCCTGCTGGCCACGCCTCCTCGACTAAGAAACAAGACCGAGGCCACGCCTCTCCTCCGGATAACCACGCCCCCTTCTCGTCTGAGGAAGAAACAGGATGGCACAAGCCCGAGGCCACGCCCCACCTCCTGCTGGCCACGCCTCCTCAACGGAGAAACAAGAGCGAGGCCACGCCCCTCTACCAGCTAACCACGCCCCTTCGCGTCTGAAACAGGACGGCATAAGGCCGAGACCACGCCCCGCCTCCCACTGGCCACGCCCCCTACTTGGTGGAGAAGACACAAGCCCGCACAGGGCGAGGCCACGCCTCCTCGACAAGGAAGAAACATGTCAGCACAGAAGGAGGCCCCGCCCCGCCTCCCTCTGGCCACTGAGGAAGAAACAAGCCCGCGCAGGGGAGGGTGAGGCCCCGCCCCTCCTTCTTGCTGACCACGCCCCCTTCATAGCCGATAAACAAGGCGGACGCCACGCCCCCTTCTCAGCCAACCCAGGAGGAGATAATGGTCAATGGGATCAATAGCAGATAGGGAAATCTAGGAGAAGCAGCAGGGAGATCCTCCACCTGCCTAGCTCTCTGAGGAGGTCATCCACCAAGGCGAGCAGGAAAATTGCATTCAAATCACCCCCGACAGATGGCCATCCAGCCTCTGTTTATAAGCTTCCAAAGAAGGAGCCTCCACCACACTCCGGGGCAGAGAGTTCCACTGCTGAACAGCTCTCACCAGGCTTCAGCCCCCCCTCCCCGAAATTCTCATGGTGTCCGCGAGAAGGCCTTACTGGTACATTATTTAAACTGTTATGATTATTCATATCATGATCTGATCACCATGCTCAACCGGCAGCCAGTGGAGCTGACATAACAGAGGGGTGGTATGCTCTCTGTATGATGCTCCAGTGAGAAGTCTAGCTGCCATCCACTGAAGTTTCTAGCTGAAGTTTCCGAACAGTCTTCAAAGGCAACCCCACGTAGAGCACGTTGCAGTAATCTATTCAGGATGTAACAAGAGCGTGGACCACTGGCCAGGTCAGACTTCCCAAGGTAGGGGCGTAGCTGGTGCACAAGTTTTAATTCTGCAAAAGCTCTCCTGGCCACCGCCGAGACCTGGGGTTCCAGACTCGGCGATGAGTCCAGGATCACTCCCAAGCTGCGAACCTGTCTCTTCAGGGGGAGTGTAACCCCATCTAACACAGGCTGTAACCCTATGCCTTGTTCGGCTTTGCAACTGACCAGTAGGACCTCTGTCTTGTCTCGATTCAGTTTCAATTTGTTAGCTCTCATCCAGTCCGATACAGCAGCCAAGCACGGTTCAGAGTCTGGACAGCCTCCTTGGTGACAGGTGAGAAGGAGTGACAGATTTGGACATCATCGGCATATATGATGTTCAATGCCCACCAAGCCCTTCTAGTGTTTTCTGTTGGACATTGGAATCCTGTGTACCAAGTTTGGTTCAATTCCATCATTGGTGGAGTTCAGAATGCTCTTTGATTGTAGGTGAACTATAAATCCCAGCAACTACATCTCCCAAATGGCAAAATCAATTTTTTTGAGTGAAAGGCATACATTGGGTTGTTAGGCGTCTTGTGTCCAAATTTGGTGTCAATTCGTCCAGTGGTTTTTGAGTTCTGTTAATCCCACAAACTAACATCATGTTTTTATTTATATAGCTTAGTCCTGTCCACGTGTGTATTTTCTAATACTCTATGAAGGAGAGGAATCGATGCATCCAGTAAAAGGCAGATAACATTTATTAAAACATGTTATATAAAAGAGCAACCGACTCTTCTATAAGAAGAAAACAATGAAACAGCAATATCACATAAAATCATGCTGTATATTATTAGGACAGCAGTATTTAGAGAGATATCCAAGTATCCAACCGTTGCAATATAGGCAAAACAACTCACAGAAGATCGACAGGGATATGGATTGTAATATTATATAAGTGACAATGCATAAAAGGGAAACTTTTGTAGTGGAATTCAGGTTCACCTCACTTGTAGAGAAACATTTACATTTATTCCAGAAATATAATGAGTAAGACGGAAGAGGCAAGCTTCAAGCGAAATAGAAGGAGGAGGATGCTACCACTCTTATTATACAATCAGGTCCCCAGCTTTTTCCGCTTGAGGCTGCAACAGCTAGACTTTTTCAAACCATCCAAATTAAATAAACATATTAGCATTTTAGAAGAAGTGGACATTTATTGCCGAAGGCTTTCATGGCCGGAATCACTGGGTTGTTGTAGGTTTTTTTTGTGCTATATGGCCATGTTCTAGAGGCATTTTCTCCTGATTTTTCGCCTGCATCTATGGCAAGCATCCTCAGAGGTAGTGAGGTCTGTTGGAACTAGGAACATTCACACTTGCCTCCAACGGACAAGAGTTCTTTCTCCCACCCTGGACATTATTCCACAGATATATAAACCCCACTTGCTTTGTTTCCAACAGACCTCACAACCTCTGAGGATGACTGCCATAGATGTGGGTGAAACGTCAGGAGAGAATGCTTCTGGAACATGGCCAGACCGCCTGGAAAACTCACAGCAACCTAGTGATTCCAGCCATGAAAGACTTTGACAACACAAAGACTGAACTTCTACTCCATTGGCAATACGAAGTAGAGACCCTCTATAACCAGGCATGGGCAAATTTTGGCCGTCAGGGTGTTTTGGACTTCAACTCCCATAACTCCTAACAGCCTCAGGCCCTTTCTTTTTCCACTTCAGCCACTTAAGCAAGGGGCCTGACGCTGTTAGGAATTATGGGAGTTGAAGTCCAAAACACCCTGACGGCCAAAATTTTCCCATTCCTGCTCTATCTGAGCCCACAGTCATTTGTGAAACAATAAAAAATGGCTTTTTGGCCATTTTTCTAAGGCAGTAAGGATTTTTAAAAAAATCATTATTATTATAAAGACACACAACTCAAAGCAGAGACTTGGGATCCCAATACAAATCCCCCATAAGTACCCATGCTTATGTAAACAACAACAACAACAAAAGCCTCTTCCCATTATAAAATCCTGAAGATTAAAAATAAAAACAAACCATTTTAGACAGGCGACATGAATAAGCAAACAAAACAAAAGGAATATATATATATTTATATATCTCAGTTCTTTTAAAAATGCATTTATAAAGGAATTTTTTTCTTTATTATTTTGTTTTTTTAAATACAAAGTGCTTCCAAACATGGAGCAGGTTACAGTGTTCGCAAGTAGATCCCTGCTCAATGAATTACCTTGTTTTGCTCAGGTTCAAGTCACAGACAGCTATCACGCCGGGGTACTTCGGAACTCATCAAAATGGAATGAGGAACGGATCCTGAAAAGCCAAATTACTGAAAGCAAGTAATTTCAAAGATTACCAGGCTGGGGGAAAAGGATCAGTATGGAAAAGCTGTCTATATGGGCTTTCTGTGCTGGTCAGTGACCATAATAAAGTTTTGTATTGTATTGTATATGGGTTTTCAAACAAAATTTAAAACCTGCAAACAACGTTGAAGTAGAACTACTACTTTTACTAACCAACCAAAGCCTTCTTGTGCCAGCCTGTCACTTAAAGACTGCTTAAACTGGGTGAATATAGGAAGAAGGAAACAACCTTGGAAACGGGTTGTTGTAGGTTTTTTCGGGCTATATGGCCATGTTTTAGAAGCATTCTCTCCTGACATTTCGCCTGCATCTATGGCAAGCATCTTCAGATGTAGTGAGGTCTGTTAGAACTAGGAAAATGGTTTTATATATCTGTGGAAAGACCAGGGTGGGACAAAGAATTCTTGTCTGCTGGAGCTAGGTGTGAATGTTTCAACTGACCACCTTGATTAGCATTGATGGCACGTGCCCAACTCTCGGCAGCCAAGGTCATGCTCACAGTATTTTGGGACCAGCATGGAGGAGTACTGATGCATTTCCTAGCTATAGGTTTTTAATTCTTGCGTGTTATTGTCTACTTGTGAGTTATATTAATTGTATTGTTTATTTTGTTTATTGCTTGTTGTTTTATTATTACTTGTTGTTTTTGATGTATTGTTGGGCTTGGCCTCATGTAAACCGCTCCGAGTCCCTTGGGGAGATGGTGGCGGGGTGTAAATAAAGTATTATTATTATTATTTTCCTAGCCAAGGGGACCATGATCACTGGGGCAGACTATGCTTCACTGCTGTGGAAATTGTGGGAGGCCATCCAAACCAAGACACACATGTGGCATGCTCATCTGCAAGAAAACGAACCAGTTCACAACTCTCCTGTTGCCCAAATGGAAGAAGCATGCTCCCCTAGCTTTGTAATCCTACCGCTTCCCCTTATTCACCCAACCTCACACCATGAGACGGGGAGCTTCCGGTGGCGCAGTGAGTTAAACCCCTGTGCTGACAGGACTGAAGACCAACAGGTCGCAGGTTCGAATCTGGGGAGAGGCGGCTGAGCTCCTCTATCAGCTCCAGCTCCTCCTGCGGGGACATGAGAGAAGCCTCCCACAAGGATGATAAAAACATCAAATCATCCAGGTGTCCCCTGGGCAACGTCCTTGCAGACGGCCAATTCTCTCACACCAGAAGCGACTTGCAGTTTCTCAAGTCACTCCTGACACGACAAAAAAAACAAACAAACGAACAAAAAAAAAAAACACCATTGGACTTCCACCTCTTTCCAACAATGAAGTTATTTTTGAAGGGCAAGCATTTTTCAGAGGATGAGACTCTGATTTCCGAAGTCACAACATGGCTTTTGGAGCAACCAGTTGACTTCTACAAGCGTGATGTTTACAGTTGCTTAAAAGATGGGAGAAGTTTGTGTCCCGAGGAGAGAAAGTTGCATTGCTCTCAGTACACAGGAAGTGGGTCAGGGGAAATCTTTCATGAACGCACCTCATACCCTACCTCTGTTCATACTGTTTCCCCCCATCTTATCAAATAGCAGCACAAATGTTTGGACCATTCCAAGTTGCCTCCATTCTGTGCATTCAAACTGCAGCAAGAATGAGGAAAATAGGGTGTGGGGGGAACAGGGAAGAAGAGTAGCTCTCAAAATAACATATAAACCTATAATCCCTATTTGGGTTACAGGAATTAATCCAGTGTTTTTTCAAATTGTCCTCTTCCTTTTTTAAAAAAAGAGTCCAGAAGGTGCTTCAGGATTGAAGATGGTTCAGAATATCTGGCTCAAGCCATGAGGATTTTTACTCACTGAGTAGCCTCCATAGCTTCTTTAGGCCTCCATTGCCATTCAAAGCTCACTCAAGTTAGGAAGTTAGTACCGTAATCTGACTTTGGGCTCTTCCATGCAGGCCCTATATGCCAGGATCTGCTTTAAACTGGATTATATGAGTCCACACTGCCAGATAATCTGGGATAAACAGAAAACCTGGGATCAGATCCTGGGATATAGGGCCCTTTGTGAGCCCTGAAGTGGATATCAGTAGATCGCATTCTCTTCTCTAAGTGCAAGTCCTTCAACTAAACTAAAACTGGACCAATATCTGCTTTGAGCCATAAGCGCCAGTGAAGAGCATACTTGTATTTACTGGAGAGCGAACACGACACTCTCTATTGCAGCAGCCAAAAGTCTCATCTGACTAAGGGCCCTTCCACACAGCCATATAACCCAGAATATCAAGGCGGAATAACCCACAATATCTGGGTTGCTGTGAGTTTTCCGGGCTGTCTGGCCATGTTCCAGAAGCATTCTCTCCTGACGTTTTGCCCACATCTATGGCAGGCACACTCAGAGGTTGTGACGTCTGCTGGAAACTAGGAAAGTGGGGTTTGCATATATGTGGAATAATGTCCAGGGTGGGAGAAAGAACTCTTGTCTGTTTGAGGCAAGTGTGAAAGTTGCAATTGATTAGCCTTGCAGCTTCAAAGCCTGGCTGATTCCTCCCTGGGGGATTCCTTTGTTGGGAGGTGTTAGCTGGCCCATGGAGCCCCCGGTGGTGTAGTGGATTAACCCCCTGTGCTGGCAGGACTGAAGACTGACAGGTCGCAGGTCCGAATCCGTGGAGAGTGTGGATGAGCTCCCTCTGTCAGCTCCAGCTCCCCGTGCGGGGACATGAGGGAAGCCTCCCACAAGGATGGTAAAACATCAAAATATCCAGGCGTCCCCTGGGCAACGTCCTTGCAGACAGCCAATTCTCTCATACCAGAAGTGACTTGCAGTTTCTCAAGTTGCTCCTGACACGACAAAAAACAAATAAAACAAAACAATCAAACAAAACCTGGCCCATATTGTTTCATGTCTGGCGTGTTGTCTGACTGTGGTGTGAACAAAATCAGGCTACCAGTATTTTTAAAACTCTAGAATCAGGACTGTAAATAAAGAGCAACACTCAAAAAACAGGGGAATTCCAGACAGGAAACAATCAGGGCCAGCCAACACCTCCCAGCAAAGGATTCTCCAGGCAGGAAGCAGCCAGGCTTTTCAATGCTAATCAACATGACCAACTGCAGCATTTCCACTTCCCTCAAGCAGACAAAGAGTTCTTTCACAGATATATAAACCCCACTTGCCTAGTTTCCAATACACCTCACAACTTCTGAGGATGCCTGCCATAGATGTGGGCAAAACGTCAGGAGGAAATGCTTCTGGAACATGGCTATACAGCCCGGAAAACTCATAACATCCAGTGATTCCAGCCATGAAAGTCTTCAATGCCACAATATCTGATCTGAACTGGGTTTTCTGAGTCCATACTGCCAGACATCACAGTTCAAAGTAGATATTGTCGGATTTTATTCAGTGGTGTGGAAGGGGCTTAACTCTTCCCTTAGGCACAACTGGGGGTGGGAGGCGGGGGGTATGGGGCGGGAATGAGGTTATATTCTGTCTCTAAAGTGTCCATCGCAATATAGCCAAGTGCTAAAAAAAGTTACAAATAATTATGAAGAATAGACATTCTGCCAAAGCAAAACAGAGCCAGTGAATTGAACACAAAAGCCTGGCTGATCAAAAAGCAGCCACCTGTTAAAGCTGTTGGCACCTCAAAATTGTCTAGCAACTTGTGTTTACTGATTTAATCACCCTTTAGGAGCTCCTGGTGGCACAATGGGTTAAACCCTTGTGCCGTCAGGACTGCTGACCGACAGGTAAGCGGTTCGAATCTGGGGAGCAGGGTGAGCTCCTGTCTGTCAGCTCCAGCTCCCCATACGCGTACATGAGAGAAGCCTCCTACAGGATGGTAAACATCAAAATATCCGGGCATCTCCTGGGCAACGTCCTTGCAGACGGCCAATTCTCTCACACCAGAAGCGACTTACAGTTTCTCAAGTTGCTTCTGACATGAAAAAATAAATAAATTACCCTTTGGTTCCAAACAGGTAAACTGCTTTTGCATCTGTTTTACGACTTCAAAACACAAGTACTGCTAAGCTGGGCAGCACAATTAAAGAAAGTAATGGAGGATGTCTCTACATAACATGTTTGCTCAAGCTGAAATAACTGAGCAGACTGCTACTGAGATGAATGGAAAAGGAGAAATGTCCCTCTCTTGACGAGAAACCCAAATGCTACTAAAACGCTACACAATAAATAATAATAATAATTATAACCAAGCTGAAGTACCACTCCTCCTCTCAGAACATCTTGGAGATCGACGACATTTGTTTTCCATATACAAGTTCTCCACCAAATTTATTTCTGTACCTTGGTGGTTTTCCGGGCTGTATGGCTATGTTCTAGAAGCATTCTCTCCTGACATTTCGCCTGCATCTATGGCAAGCATTCTTAGAGTCAGGAGAGAATGCTTCTGGAATGTGGCCATACAGCCCGGAAAACTCACAACAACCCAGTGTTTCCGGCCACGAAAGCCTTCGACAATATATTTCTGTACCATCCAGAAACTGAAAACAACACGTACCAGGCACTGCCCTGTGCAAAGCATTCATTCTGCTCACTTGGCTAAGTATTTATATGCGAACTCATCCCTCCCTCCCCATTTTTTAGTTCATCTCAGTAGCATTTTGCTCCACTTTACAAGCTTGGTATGACTTTGTACAAGACGTGACGTGCCGGTGGAAACTGTCCCTCCACATGAACCGCTTCCCACAAATGTTGCACTCGTAAGGCTTGATGCCCGTGTGGATTTTCATGTGCCCGACGAGGTGGTGCTTCATTTTGAATTTCTTACCGCATACGCCACAGCCGTACGGCCGGAGCCCGAGGTGCATACCCATGTGGCGGTCCCTCTGGCTCTTATGCGTAAAGCTTTTCCCACATTGGCACGGGTAAAGCTTGTCAGCTGTAGAAAACCCAGAGAGGGCGTTTTCCTCTTTGATCCCGGATGTCGCGTCTACGCTTTCCCCATAACCAGCCACATCCTGTCTCTGGAGACTTAAAGTCCCATCAGCCCTCTCCGCAGAAAACTCTTCCATGGAGGAGCCATAGAAATCCACTTGCTCGTCGTAACTGCCTTCGTTGGCTCGCTCACCATACTCCCTTTCCACCTTTTTCTCGCTGACGCGGAGATCTTCGGCAGCGGAGGTCTGGACACTGTGGTCAGCCTGGACAGTGTTTACGGACTCAGATACCTGCTGTTCGTCGTAAGCGCCGTGCACTTCCACAGCTTCACAGTCCTGGACAAACCTCTCTGTTTTGACGTGGATCCACCGCTTGTGAGACATGATGCTCGGCTTGCTGTAAAGTGGCCTCGTGTACTGATAATCCGCACTATCGCTCACTCCTTCTTCCCCATCCTGGCTGGTCATGCCTGTGCTCAGCCCGTCATGCTCCGTTGAAGAATTGCTCGGAAGATACTCATGTTCTGTTAGTTGAGATAAGAGCTCATCCTTGGAACTTTCCTCCTCGTTCTCCCCATCCCGCAGTTCCTGCACTTTGTGAAAGTCGGCCTGCTCAAAGCTTTCCACGAGGCCGTTGTAGTTACTGCTGCTCGGAGACTGATGGTCGCTAGTACGGTTCATCTTCTGGCAAAGCACTGATGGGTTCCCTTCCAAAACCTCCGTGCATTTGTCGACAACGTGCCACATCTGAAGGAAGCTCGCTGCCGTGAGGTAGCTGACAATCTCTGGAGCGGGCATGACCAGCCGTCCCGTGTAGGTCGACAGGAGGATGTTCTCAAACACTCTGGGGTTCATGACGTCAGGCAGAACAATCCGCCGGCTATTTTTCAGGAGCACTTGGTCACAAAAGTATGGGGAGCTGGCTGCCAGAACAGCTTTGTGGGCTCTGAAGAGATGGCCCTGGACAACAATCGAAACATCGCACAGCTGCCCTTGTTGGCGTTGTTGGTTGAGCTTCTGCAAGATGGTGTTGGAGAAGTCGGGGAACTCCACTCTGAAAGAATTGGTCCCAGGCTCCATTTCATCAGCAGACTGCAAGGAAAGACAATATTTAGTTCACAAATAGGAAAGCAGGGCTGTGATTTGTTTTCTCCCTCGCATGACCAGCCAGACTTCCTCTTAGGAAAACGTTATCAGTTCTCAGGAATGTAAGAGGAGTCTGCTGTTGTCCTCATGTTCTGCCTTTGGGCTTTACATCGCTGGTCACGATGAAAATAGTGGAATACGTCCAACATATCTCTTTTTATGTTCCAATTTGTAATTCATAGGAAAGTCATGATAAAAAAGGATTTATTTCTTCTCTTTCACAGGGCAAACAACCAATCTGTTCCCTGGCTCAAGACAACAACAACAACAACAACAACAACAACAACAACAACAAGCTCACCCTGCTCCTTACAAGGTCTGTTGCAGTTCAGAAGAGCAACTGATAGAGCACACAAACAATTTCAGATATTGGTACATTTTGGATTCCCAGATAAGGATTGCTGAGTGTGGGAGAATCTATACCATATAATTAATACTGTTTGACACTTTAGCTGCCTTATTATTATTATGGCTGGGTGGCCATCTGTCAGGGGCACTTTGATTGTGCTTTTCCTGCATGGCAGGGGGTTGGACTAGATGGCCCATGTGGTCTCTTCCAACTCTATTGTTGTTGTTGTTATTATTATTATTATGGCTGGATGGCCATCTGTCAGGGGTGCTTTGATGGTGCTTTTCCTGCATGGGAGTGGGTTGGACTAGATGGCCTATGTGGTCTCTTCCAACTCTATTTTCATTATTACTATGGCTGGATGGCCATCTGTCAGGGGTGCTTTGATGGTGTTTTTCCTGCATGGCAGGGGATTGGACTAGATGGCCCACATGGTCTCTTCCAACTCTTTTATCATTATTATTATTATTATTATTATTATTATTATTATTATTATAGCTGAATGGCCATCTGTCAGGGTTACTTTGATTATGCCTTTCTTCCATGACAGGGGGTTGGACTAGATGGCCCATGTGGTCTCTCCCAACTCTATTGTTATTATTATTATGGGTGGATGGCCATCTGTCAGGGGTGCTTTGATGGCGCTTTTCCTACATGGGAGTGGGTTGGACTAGATGGCCCATATGGTCTCTTCCAACTCTATTTTCATTATTACTATGGCTGGGTGGCCATCTGTCAGGGGTTTTGATGGTGCTTTTCCTGCATGGCAGGTGACTGGACTAGATGGCCCACGTGGTCTCTTCCAACTATATTATTATTATTACTATTATTATAGCTGAATGACCATCTGTCAGGATTACTTTGATTATGCCTTTCTTGCATGACAGGGGGTTGAACTAGATGGCCCAATGTGGTCTCTTCCAACTCTATTGTTGTTATAATTATGGCTGGGTGGCCATCTGTCAGGGGTGCTTTGATTTTGCCTTCCTGCATGGCAGGGGGTTGGACTAGATGGCCCATGTGGTCTCTTCCAACTCCATTCTCATTATTACTATGGCTGGATGGCCATCTGTCAGGAGTGCTTTGATTATGCCACCTCTATCATCACCATCATCAATCATCATGACCAGATGGCCATCTGTCAGGAGTGCTTTGATTGTGCCACCTCTATTATTATTATTATTATTATTATTATTATTATTATGGCTGGATGGCCATCTGTCAGGAGTGCTCTGATGGTGCTTTTCCTGCTTGCCAAGGGGTTGGACTAGGTGGCCAATGTGGTCTCTTCCAACTCTTTTATCATTATTATTATGGCTGGATGGCCATCTGTCAGGGGTGCTTTGATTGTGCCACCTCTATCATCATCATCATCATCATCATCATCATCATCATCATCATCATCATCATCATCATGGCCAGATGGCCATCTGTCAGGGGTGCTTTGATTGTGCCTTTCCTGCATGGCGGGGGTTGGACGAGATGGCCCATGTGGTCTCTTCCAACTCTATTGTTATTATCATTATGGCTGGATGGCCATCTGTCAGGAGTGCTTTGATTGTGCCTTTCCTGCAGGGCAGGGTGTTGGACTAGATGGTCCATGTGGTCTCTTCCAACTATGTCATCACCATCATTATTATTATTATGGCTGGATGGCCATCTGTCAGGGGTGCTTTGATGGTGCTTTTCCTGCTTGCCAAGGGGTTGGACTAGGTGGCCAATGTGGTCTCTTCCAACTCTTTTATCATTATTATTATGGCTGGATGGCCATCTGTCAGGGGTGCTTTGATTGTGCCACCACCACCACCATCATTATGGCCGGATGGTCATCTGTCAGGAGTGCTTTGATTGTGCAACCTCTACTATTACTATCATCATTATGGCAGGATGGCCATCTGCCAGGAGTGCTTTGATTGTGCCTTTCCTGCAGGGCAGGGGGTTGGACTAGATGGTCCATGTGGTCTCTTCCAACTATGTCATCACCATCATTATTATTATTATGGCTGGATGGCCATCTGTCAGGGGTGCTTTGATGGTGCTTTTCCTGCTTGCCAAGGGGTTGGACTAGGTGGCCAATGTGGTCTCTTCCAACTCTTTTATCATTATTATTATGGCTGGATGGCCATCTGTCAGGGGTGCTTTGATTGTGCCACCTTTATTATTATTATTATCATCATTATGGCAGGATGGCCATCTGTCAGGGGTGCTTTGATTGTGCCTTTCCTGCAGGGCAGGTGGTTGGACTAGATGGCCCATGTGGTCTCTTCCAACTCTTTTGTCATTATTATTAGGGCTGGATGGCCATCTGTCAGGGGTGCCTTGATAGTGCTTTTCCTGCTTGCCAAGGGATTGGATTAGGTGGCCCGTGTGGTCTCTTCCAATCTATTATCATTATTACTACGGCTGCATGGCCATCTGTCAGGGGTGCTTTGATTGTGCCACCACCACCACCACCATCATCATTATCATCCTGACCAGATGGCCATCTGTCAGGAGTGCTTTGATTGTGCCACCTCTATTATCATCATCATCATCATTATGGCAGGATGGCCATCTGTCAGGGATGCTTTGATTGTGCCTTTTCTGCATAGCAGGGGGTTAGACTAGATGGCCCATGTGGTCTCTTCCAACTATGTCATCACCATCATTATTATTATTATGGCTGGATGGCCATCTGTCAGGGGTGCTTTGATGGTGCTTTTCCTGCATGGCAAGTGGTTGGACTAGGTGGCCCATGTGGTCTCTTCCAACTCTTTTATCATTATTATTATGGCTGGATGGCCATCTGTCAGGGGTGCTTTGATGGTGCTTTACTGCTTGCCAAGGGGTTGGGCTAGATGGCCCATGTGGTCTTTTCCGAGTTTATTATGCTATGTTTCTATGAAACCGCGTCAATCCTACAGTGCAGATGCCCCCACTTGCCTCTGGCTCGGACCAGGGCAAGCCCCACCTCTTCCCCCTCTCCACCTCCTTCCCTGTCCTCAGCCCAAGCCAAGCCTCACCTCTCTGAAAGGCAAGGCCCTCGGCGACGCGCTCCTGGCTCACATGGCGGGCGAGCCCCTCAGGCTTCGCCTCCACCAGCCCACCACTCAGGCCCGGAAGTCCCAGTCTCTTCCTTCTTCCGGTCTTCTAGCCCCGCCACATCCGCTTCCGCCTTTAGAATTAACCACAGACTTGTATGATAGAGCTATACAAGCAGAGGTGCACTTCCTGGTTGACGCCCTCTTTTGGTTGTCTGTGGTATTGCCACTCTGCAGAATGAATGAATGCAATTGTTTTCAATAGCCAGGGCTCAAAGCTATGGAATTCAGAAGGGATGGGTGTACTTTTGCATAGAGTATGTAAGAAGCCATTGTGTGCAGGTACAGCTGTACCAGGAGCTCCAATTTTGCTTACTTTGCATTGAATATTTGTTGTAGTCCTAAGTTTCAGGGACTCTGCAGATAGGTGGCTTCTTTTGGCTGCAATCATAGGGCAAGCCACCTGTCAATTATCGTTAGGTTCCCTGGTCCCGCCCCCTTTTTGGGTTTTTGGAGGGAATAGGAGCCATTTTGGGTCAGTCCACACAGAGAAGCCTTTCATGCAGGACATAAAACCAGGAGCTCCTGTAGAAGGCTTCGTCCTCTATGGCTTGGCTGGGAGATATACAGCCTTACAGCTTGGCCGGGGTTATACAGCTCTACAGCTTCTTTGCTGAGGGACTTCAGCCAGCCATCACCGAAACCTGAACTCCTTTTCCCCTGGAAGTCTACAAAGCTCTGCTTGGTAAGGGTCACTTGCAGAAGCCAGAAGCAGCTGGTACCGGGTGCAGGGGCTCCACGCCAGCAGAGGCAAAGACAGACTGCCCAGATTAGAAGTTAAGGATTTCCCCATTAGTTATAGTTATGAAGATAGGGCCTGTTCCCTGTGGACAAGATTGAGAGAGAGCCAATAGACAGTTAAGAAAGCCTTAAAGTACCTGTTTGTTTTCAATAATAAAGAACTTTGTTGAACCTTTAAGCAATCTAAAGACTTTGTTTTAAGGAAATCCAAAGGCCTTTAATCTGAGGCAGCCCCAGTGTCCCGTTGGGCACACAGAATGTATGTCCTGTCTACAGTCTTATGCACAGGCCCAGCGTGCGACAGCACACATTGAAATACATACAATTTCAACAGAACGGAGGAAACCATGAGAATGAACAAAATCTGGCGACCAATATTTAAACAATTCTAAAATCAAGACAGTAAATAAAGAGCAACACAGAGAAAAATGGGGAATTCCAGACAGGAAACAGTCAGGGCCAGCTAACACCCCCCAACAAAGGCTTCCCTCCAGTCAGCAACCAGACAGGCTTTGAAGCTGCAATGCCATTCAATGCTAATCAAGCTGGACAATGGCAACATTCACAGCAGGACTGTAGCACAGCTGGCTGGGGGTCAGCTGCATTAGATCACTACTGACCAAAAGGTCATGAGTTCGAAGCCAGCCTGGGTCGGAGTGAGCTTTCGACCATTGTGTAGCTCGCTGTCCATTTCTGCAGCCTGAAAGACAGTTGCATCTGTCAAGTAGGAAATTTAGGTACCGCTTATGAATGACTGCAAGGAAAGACAATATGTGTCACCTCAACATTTTTAAACTTACTCGCCCAACGACGCACAGTACTCACATCAGCACAATCACCATTAACAGCTTGCATTCTCGGATGACTCTCCTTTGGGGCGATACCCCTTGCTGTCAAGAATTCAATGACTGCACGTTACTTAAGTCGCATTGATCAATCATCTGCACAGGGTTCTACACTTTGCACTTTAACAACCCAACCATTCAATGCAAAGGCTTCCTGCTAAAATGGAACTGTAGAGGAGAGTCTACTGAACAATCCAGTATCTAAGTCGCATTGACTGACCATCTGTGCAGGGTTCCACACTTCGCACTTTAACAACCCAACCGTTCAATGCTAAGGCTTCCCCGCCAAAATGGAACTGTAGAGGAGAGTCTACTGAACAAGCCAGTACCTGCCGTATGCGTTGCTTAAGTCGCATTGACTGACTGTCTGCGCAGGGGTCCATACTTTGCACTTTAACAACACAACCGTTCAGTGCTAAGGCTTCCCGCCAAAATGGAACTGTAGAGGGGAGTCTACTGAACAAGCCAGTACCTAAGTCGCATTGACTGACTGTCTGAGCAGAGATCCATACTTTACACTTTAACAACACAACCGTTCAATGCTAAGGCTTCCTGCCAAAATGGAACTGTAGAAGAGAGTCTACTGAACAAGCCAATACCTGCCGCATACGGTGCTTAAGTCGCATTGACCGACCGTCTGCGCAGGGTTCCATACTTTGCACTTTAACAACACAACCATTCAATACTAAGGCTTCCTGCCAAAATGGAACTGTAGAGGAGAGTCTACTGAACAAGCCAGTACCTGCCGCATACCAGCACTGACATCTGTTGAGGAGTTATGAAGGTGGAGGCATTATTTTTCATTCAACCCTCGTATCTCTACCCTACACTTGAAACCTATGTTACGTGATGAACACAGTAGCTTTCCGTTTCTTAAGTGGGTGGCTCAGTAGTATTTAAAGAATGTGATGAAGTGGCAGGGATGCCAAAGGGTTGTGCTTGGAGAGAGTTCAAAAGCAGCCTTTGATCTGTATTTGGCTTTGGTGAGACCCTGCACAGAACTGAGAGTGTGGGTTCACCTGTGCGTGAGGAGCGCTTCCTCCAGATGCAAGGCTTCTCCTTCCTCCCCAGGCAAAGCGAGGCTTCTGTACGGCTTGTTCGTGACACGGCCTGCAAGTGAACACACCGCTGGAAATGAGGCCTCTGTGAAGTCAGGCAAGCATTCTTAGAATTTTTGATCAATCACAGCCGCACAAGAACTGTCTTGCTGACTCAGGCCACGCAGCGGACAACCGAGATGGATCTGGGAGGTTAAGGAACACGATGGCAAAATGGGTGGCTGAGATAATGACAGCGGGTGCATCTACACCAGTGGTTCTCAACCTTCCTAATGCCGTGACCCCTTAATGCAGTAACTCATGTTGTGGTGACCCCCAACCATAACATTGTTTTTCTTGCTACTTCATACTGTTATAAATCATAATATAAATATCAGATATGCAGGATGTATTTTCATTCACTGGACCAAACTGGGCACAAATACCCAATGCACCCACATGTAAATGCTCGTGGGGTTGGGGGAGGATTGATTTTGTCATTTGGGAGTTGTAGTTGCTGGGATTTATAGTTCACCAATAATCAAAGAGCATTCTGAACTCCACCAACGATGGATTTGAACCTAATTTGCCACCCAGAACTCCCATAACCAACGGAAAACATTGGAAGGGTTTCGTGGGTATTGACCTTGAGTTTGGAAGTTGTAGTTCACCTATATCCAGAGAGCACTGTGGACTCACACAATGGTGGATCTGGACCAAATTTGGCACAAATACTCAATATGCGCAAATGTGAACACTGGTAGAGTCTGGGGAAAATAGACCTTGACTTTTGGGAGCTGCTGGGATTTATAGTTCATTACAATCAAAGAACATTCTGAACTCCACCAACGATCGAATTGGCTCAAACTTCTCACATGGAATCCCCATGATCATCAGAAAATACTGTGTTTTCTGATGGTCTTTGGCGACCCCTCTGACACTCCTTCACGACCTCCTCAGGGGTCCCAACCCCCAGGTTGGGAAACACTGATCTACACTGTAGAATTCATGCAGTTTTGACCCCACTTGAACTGCCATGGCTCAGTGCTATGGAATCCTGGCAGTTGTCGTTTTACAAGATTTGTCACCCTGCATCAATCCTACAGCAGACCTAGGCAAACTACAGCCCTCCAAGTGTTTTGGACTTCAACACCAACAATTTCTGTTTATTTCTCATGGTCTTAGGAACCTCTTTGGCAGAGATGGCTAAAGATCTCTCTCTGCCTGTCTTCTTCCTTTGTGGAAACAGATGGCGAATCTGTCTGTAGGTGAACTATAAATGCCTGCAATGACACTTACTTACTTAGGCGATCCCTCGTAGTTCGAGGATGATGGTCCTCCAAGTTCTGGTGGTGGGTCCGTAGATGACTGTGGAGCCTTATTCTTGAACTGCATCTTCTCGCACAGTGAGGGCATCAGTTTCCAGGTGGAAGGCGGTCCTGGTCGAGGTTGGCTTGATGTGCCTTCCTCTTGGCACGTTTCTCTCTTTCGCCCTCCAGTCGTGCCTCTTCAAATTCTTTAGCACTGCTGGTCACAGCTGACCTCCAACTGGAGCGCTCAAGGGCCAGGGCTTCCCAGTTCTCAGTGTCTATGCCAGAGTTTTTAAGGTTGGCTTTGAGCCCATCTTTAAATCTCTTTTCCTGTGCTATTACACCCAGACGTTATAAAAATAAACTAAGATGTGCTTCTCTCTATGTCTGGGAGAACTGCGGGTGTCTTTCTTTAGAAGCTTGAGATATTCAACAACTGAGGCTATTAAAGGTTTTGAGCATTAAAAAAAGGATATTTATTCTTCAAAGTCCTTGCAGACTTGGCACAGCTTATCGAGGTTACAAACAGAACAGTCAATAGTGAATCCACAGAGATATTCTTTCTTTCCCTTCTCCTCCAGTCACTGAGTCAACTTTTCCCCAGAAGGCAGAGAAGACCCTGGAATCTTTTCACCCTAACCCTAAGGTGTTACTTTTTAGAAAGACCAGGTCTTTCCATATCTATGCTCATGGTTAGTTCTGGAGATAAAGCAATGAAGTCTCTCTCTATATATCTATATAACTCAGTTTCTCAGTAGGCTTCTCTGTCTATAGTACCACAATCTCAATCTTCAATATCTATCTACAATATCTCAATCTTCAATTTCTCAATCAGTTATAACTCAATCAGTCAATCAAGCTTAGCTATCTATAGTATCTTGATAGTCTTAATATCTTAATAGTCTTAATAGTACTTACAATGTTTTTCCCAGAGCTACCCTGATTAACCACCAGCACATCTGAAGTTCTTTCTCTAACTAAAAAGGCAGGGGAGATTCCAAAATGGAGATCTCTTCCCTGGGAAAAAGGGCGGTCTCTAAACCCAAAAAGATACCTTCTAAGCCAATAGCTGCAAAGGGCCTGCAGACTGGCTTTCCAGCCTCTGAAACTGT